GGGGGTGTGGATGGGAGAATGGACGGCGGGTGCCTTGGAATCCCCTTCTGCCGCCCCCACGTTTCACCCTGCGGCCCAGTCTAGTGGGTCCTGGCCGTGGAGGGTGTGTGTTGCGGGGGGGGGGGGGGGCGGGGGGGGGGGGGGGGGGGTGGCCCAGGCGGTGCGCCGACGGGGGGGGGGGGGGCCCCGGGCGGGGGGGGGGGCCCCCGGGGGGGAGGGGGGGGGGGGGCATCGGAGGATGACCGTGGGACCACAAGGGAGCTCTGAGCGACCATCTGGAGCGGTTCCACGTGGTCACAGACACGGACACACGCATGCGCTCCCTTAGGCCATGGAGACAGGTAAGGGCACAGACAGGAAGCCTTGGTTCTCACCTGGGGACATCGGAGCTCACCTCCCTCCCAGCCCTGAGGCCGTGCAGAGCGCCGGCCACAGCCCACCACCCAGGCTCCCGAGACCCCCAAGACCTTTCTCTGCTGGCAGGGGCCGGCCTCCTCTCTTCCCTCTTTCTTCGTCCTTCCCTCCCTGGGGCGCTTGCCCCCCTCAGTCCCCTCTAGTGGCCCACATGTTCCCTCACCCTCACCCCCAGCTTGCTCCCTAGCGCCCTGAGAAGTGGAGGCCACGGGAGGAGGACCGCCGAGGTTCCTCGGCCTCTGGGGTCAGGTGCTCCACCCAAGGAAACACCTGGGCTCCTAGCTGAAATCGCCCGCTGCCTCTCGGCCGCTCGGGGAGGCCCCTTCAGCCCTTTCTGCCTCTGCCCTCCCAGTCCATCAGCGAGCCCCTCTGCACACTTCAGTGTGGGCCCATCTTAAAAACACCCCAAGCCCACCGGCTCCCCCACCTTCTCTGTGCCCCTTGGCAGTGACATGCTTGAAAGAGATGTCTACACTCCAAACGTTCTCCCCACTCCTGAACCTACTCCAAACTGGCTCTACCCCACTACTCTGTCCAAACAGCTTATCTTAGTCATCTCAGGCTGCCATAACTCAGGTGCCACAGGCTGGGGGGCCGAAGCCACAGACATTTACTTTCTGACAGCTCTGGAGGCTGGAAGTCTAAGGTCAAGGTTCCAGGCCATCCAGGTGGGGGTGAGAACTCTCCTCCTGGCTTGTCAAGGGCTGCATGCTCCCGTGGTGGAGAGAGAGAGCATGTGAGCTCTCTGCTGTCTCCTCTTATGGGGAGTCTAACCCTATCGGATTTAACCCTAATTACTTCCTTAGATTCTATACCCAAACACAGGCACAGTGGGGCTTCCGCTGTAAGTGGGGGGCATGACTCCATCCCTAGCACAGCTCTTGCCAGGATCTTCACCAAGCTCCACGGGGGCAAACCCAAGGGTCACGTAGACGTGCCCTACTGGACCTGCGGGCACAGGGCACAGCCAACCGCCCTCCTCCTCAGCCTCTGAGACGCACCCTCTTGCTTCTCCCTCCCTCACCGCCGCTGCTTCTCTTTCTTTGTTGGCCCCTCTCCATTTTCCCGCCCCATTACCCTCGCCATGGCCTGGCGCTCAGCCCTGGCGTTTCCCCTTTCTGTCCACACCCGCTCCTGAGGCGGCCCCGTCACAGCCCCGCTCACGGAGGCCCCCCCCCGACACCCTCATCTTGGAGCTTCGCCTGTCCTCAGCCCCGTCTAGCCAGTTGCTCTACACTCGGAGGCTTCCGGGGCCTCTTACCCTGCACCCGCCTCCAGCCCGCAGTCCTCCCCACCTCGCCGGTCTGCTCCGCCCGCGGTCTGCCTGCCTCAGTGGCCGCCATACTCCCTCCTTTCCCTCTTTCCCTCCCAGCCCGGGTTCGACACGTGAGCATATCCTTTTGGCTCCGTCCTCGGGACAGTCACGGTCCCACCACCCCTTACCACGTGGCCTGACCACTGTGGTGCTCACCTAGAGGACCACGGCAGCCCCCTGTGGTCGGCTAGTCACGTCCCTCCTCCCCTACAGAGGTCCACGTCCTCATCTGTCCCCTGTGAATGTGTTACCTTAGAGAGCAAAAGGGACTTCAAAGAGGAGATTACACGAAGGGCTTGGCGAGGGAAGATTATCCTGGATGGTCCAGGCGGGCCCACTGTCCCTCCCTCTGAGAGGCAGGAAGAAGGACCGAAGGTAGAAGGTGATGTGACAATGCTAGCCGAGGGAGAAAAGGTGGTGTCATGTGGGGCCGTGAGCCAAAGAACTCGGGCAGCCTCTAGAAGCAGACTCTCTTCTTGAGCCTCCAGGAAGAACGCAGCCCTGCCAACACAGAGCTCTGAAACTGTAAAAGGGTAAGTGTGTGTTGTTTTAAGCCACTTAAGTTTGTGGTAACTTTTGAATTTTTTATAGCAGCCACAGGAAGCGAACGTACACCCTCAATGTGGACCACAGGACCCTACGTGTTCTGGCCCCCGTGAAACTCTCTGGCTCATCTTCTCGTTCTCTCCTCCTTTACCACCCTGGCCCCCTCCTGCCTCTGAGCCTTTGCACTTGCTGTTCCTGCTTCCTGGGGCGCCTTTCCCTCACAGATCCACCTGGCTTGTTCTGGCCAAATGGTGCCTTATCAGAGCCTTTTCGTTTTCCTTTCTTTCTTTCTTTTTTAAGATTTGCGAGAGCATGTATGTGCATGGCAGGGAGGGGTAGAGGGAGAGGGACAGAGAGAATCCCAAGCAGACTCTCTGCTGAGCGTGGAGCCCCATGTGGGGCTCGATCCCCGGACCCTGAGATCATGACCTGAGCCGAAATCAAGCGTTGGACCCTTAACCAACTGAGCCACGCAGGCGTCCCTATGGGAGACTTTTCTAACCACGTCTGTAAAATCGTGACTCCGATGCCCCCTTGTGCCCCTGCATACGTGTCTCACTGTGTATATACGGCACACACGCTGCGTTATGTATTTCTCTATTGTCTTCCACAAAAATGTAAGCCCCGTTTATATGTACCGCTGGCCCTCGGTGCCTACAGTAAGTGTCTGCTGTTGTAAGCACTCTTGGATGGATGGATGGATGAATGAATGAATACATTTTACAGATGGGGAGACTAAGACCAGGAAAGGGGAATAAATCAAACACGGCGTCTCCCACAACTCGCTGCCCCAAACCGCCTCTGCTGGGCAGCCTAGGGTACCTTTCAAAGGTTCATCCCTCAGGTCTGGGTTTCAATCCCTTTTCTTACCCACTCAGCTTCTGCTCCCTGGTCTCTTAATGAATGAATGAATGCCTCCATTCATTCATCGGGGCCCTTGGTTGGGAAAGCCCTGCAGGCTAGAGGACCCGGAGCAGGGCTGGAATGGGGAGAGGCTGCCTGGAGGAGGAGGGCCTAGCAGGGCCAGGCTCTGCAGATTCTGGGGAGCACGGAGCCTGGCTGCAGGAGCGAGCTGGGGGAGCCACAGAGCGGGTTGAGGGGGCAGAGGCCTGATCCAATCCTCACCTTACAAAGGACCCTCAGGGCTGCCCTGAGGATTGCAGGGGCCAAGGTAGAGGCAGAGAGGACCCTGTGGTGGTCCGGTCAGAGGCGGTGGGGCTGTTGGCTGCCGGGGCCGTGGGGAGATTGGAGATGTGATCGGGCAGAAATGACAAGACCCGCTGAGAGGTAAAATGTGGGGTGGGGAGCAGGTAGGGTTAAGGAAGAAGATCGAGGGGCTTGGGGAGAGTTCCCGAACGGGTGGGGTGACGGTGCCTCCCAGAAACCTGCTCTACTGTCGCAAACACAACAGGGAAAAGTCTGGGGCTCCAATGCTCCAGCTAGGACTCTGGGATCCGGTCTCTCTGCTCATGTTCTTTTCCTGAGTTGGCCTCATTCTCAGGCAGGCCGCCCTACACAGTGCCTGTAGCCAGCAGCAACCCCACGCTGCATCCTATCAGGACAGCAAACCCAACAGAAAGAGAGTTTTTTTTTCTAATATTTCCATAACACAAGACCCGGGGCAGGGGGTAGGGGTTCCCGTTGGCCAAGCTTGAACCACATGCCCAAACCTGAACCACTGAAATTGGGGGCCGGCTGGCAAGGCGGGGCCCATGTGCTCATCTTTGAGCCATGTGGCTGGAGAGCTGGGGAGGGAGTGCGACACTGTGGGAGGGGCTGGATGGTGGGCAGGGAGACAGGAGATATGACCAGTGCCCTGCACAGGCCGGTGTGCAGGGGATTTTCTGAGGGAAGGGCCTGGCACGGGGCTGGCTTGGGAGAGAAGGGCTGGTATGGTGCCTGGAGCGTGATTTGTGGGCCTTCCTGGTCCTGATCTGGGCAGGTCTCTCCCTGCACACGATGGCAGGGCTGGGCTCTGACCCTCCGGCCAGGGTGAGCTGCTGCCCCACTGGACGCCTGCCCTTTCCTGCCAGTCTCTCATGTTGAAAATTCCATGATTTGTGTGCATCCACAGCCTCAGATGCCTCCTGATAACGTCAGTGCTGAGGCTGGGGTGCCCACCTGCTCTGCCCACGGCCTTTGCTAGCACTGTTACCTCCCCAGACCTCAGCTGCTCCCTTGCCTGCCTGCCTGGTGAGTCAGGAAGGTTGTGCTCAGCTGGGGTGGGGCGCCTCGAGATCGGAACTCAGGCTCCCCCACCCCCATTTCCTGGGGGTCCTGGCAAGGATTGGAGAGGTCTGCTCAGCTTCTCTCTGGTTCTTGTGCTTTACTATCCACTCTTTCGGGGTCAGTCTCTGGCTTCACATTTGGCCCCAACACATCTCTGCCGACCCCTCATGGTGGCAGAGGAGCTGCTGAAGTTCCAGCCTCAGCTCTCGGGTTTAAGTCCAGTGGGGGAATGAGAGCCTTTCCTTCCAGCTCCCCCCTTAACTGGGCCACTTCAGGTCGCATGCTCGGTCCCAATCCTCTGTGCCCATGAACGCAGGTATCAACTGCCGGGCCCGAGTGCCCCGCTCCCATCCAGACAACAGGGCAGCCATGGGAGGCGGACAGTCGGGGGCCTCCCAGTGCCAACGGCTGACCTGGTGCACACCGCTTCCCACCCCAGGAACCGAGCCTTAACCCCTCGGCTCTGTGGGCTTTCACCACCGACACAGGCCACGGGTCCATTTAAAAATCATTTTATTATTAACATCATCTTCCCATTTAGCCAAGTGTCTGTCATGTATAAGGAATGTCGGTAAATATTCCATTTGAAGCTTCTTTGTACATATTTCCATCGATAAATAAACTCTGAATTCACATAAAAAAGTTAAACTTAAATAGCTCCTATTTCCTTCTCTTGTAACAGGCATATATTGGTGAAATAGAAACATTCTCCAACTCAGGCTTTGCTCTAAGTGAGGACAGGAATTCACACGGTACAATTATTGACAACGAAACCAAGAAATCGTCAGCTGGTGTCCTGGCTTGGACTAGCACTGAGGTGGGAAACAGGAAATTCACATTTGGTTTCCGGGCCGAGGTTGGGGCAGGAGTGGTAGGGGAAGGAGAGTTTTCTTTACAGCTCTGATAAAAATAATCTGCTCTGCCACTGAATTTTAACTTTGGATATATTCTTCTACATTTGCTGATTAAGTCCATTATCATTTGACTTTAAAACGCAGATGTCGACTAACAAAATATGGCACATAATCCATTTTGAACAATGTTCAGTAGGTTCAAAAACTATCATCGGGCTGGCCAAAACAGTAACAGAAATGCGTGTGGGGAGAGCGATGAACTGGGGCTCGTTCCGTTAGTGCAGTGTGGTCAGTCACACGTCCATCCGTGGCCTCGGTGCGGCGGGGTGGGGGGATGGGGGGGGGGGGGCCCCCGGGGGGGGCCCGGGGGGGCCTGAGCAGCAGTGAGGCTGGCAGGCGCCTGCTCAGAGCACCCGGGGGATGATGGTGAAGGGCACGGCAGGGCTGCTGGCCTCCAGCTCCAGGGCCGTCAGGAAGCACTCGGTGGCTGCTGCGTCGTTGCCCTGGGCTTGCAGGACCTCGCCCAGCCCGTTCCACACCTCATGGGCTGTCGAGTTCACCTGCACCGCATCCCGGAGGATCTTCTCTGCTAGACTGTAGCGGCCCAGCTGATGAAGGATCAGGGCCTGCAGGCATCGGGGAGACGGACACACAGACAGACAGTCAGAGAGACTCTGCAGCTCTCGGCTCTTACCTGTCCTCGAGTTCCCGCAGGATTCTGGGAGGCGGGCATGGATCGCCAGCGGGCTGGGCACACAGAGTACGTTCAAATTCTTCCTGCTCTTGGGGGCGATCATCAAAAGAGTGACCCGTGTTGGGCCGTTTTGGAAAGATAAAAAACTGGCAATTTGACACGGTTCAGGTGAGTACTTAACGCCCAGGAGTGAACCAATCGGGATGGCCAGTCGGTACCGACCCAGTGGGCCGCCCTGCGTGTGCTGGCTGGTATCTAACGGCTTTTCTAACCTAGAGAAATGTTATTTGTGGCATGACTGTCGGTCATGATTAGAACTGAATTTTTTTTCATTGCTCGCAGTTCCCCCTACCATAAAGAAGCCCCTGCCTTCACCGCCCCCTGCTCACCACAAGCAGAGCTGTCATTTTCCATAGTTTTGTTTGTTTCAAAGATTGATTGATTTTAGAGAGAGTGAGAAAGAGAGAAAGAGTGTGAGCAGTGGGAGGGGCAGAGGGAGAGAGAAGCAGAGTCCCCGATGAGGATGGAGCCTGACGTGGGGCTGGATCTCACGACCCCAAGATCATGACCTGGGCCGAAATCAAGAATCAGACGCTTAACCGATTGAGCCACCCAGGTGCCCCCATTTTACACAGTTTTAATTAGGATGTAGGCGTTGGTCCCCAAATATTTTACCATAACCGTGTTTCCCAGTCGTGCCTCCCTATGACTGATGGGTTCGCACTCTTTCATCCAATGACAGACTCTCGTTTCCTCAATCTCTCCCTCACGGGGCAGAGGCTGAGGTTGCACCCACTCTCTTCGCTATTATAAATCACGCTGCGCTGAACATCCTTCCAGACGGTACCAATGCACCCTCAATGAACAGCGCATTGAAAAGCAGTGAGGGGGCGAGAGGGTCAGCTAGCTTGTGTCCAGCCCAGAAGAAGAGATCTGCGCAGGTTCCTGTCTGCCGAGACAGAGCAGACAACTACTTAACAAAGTGGAACTGAACATGTCGGTTCTTCGAAAGGACGACTTTCAGAGCTTTGAAGTGACAAAAAACAAAACAAAACCAAACAAACAAAAAAAAAACCAAAAAAACCCCCCAAAACCCAACACTTAAGTTCAACGAATTCAATTTAAAAAACTAAAAACTTTTGTTCAAAGAAAAAAAATCTCGAAAGTTAAAGAACAGTCTAGACAATTGTGATTGCAGATGAAGAGCAGTCCTCTAAAAGGTGTAAACAAAGACATGGAAAATATGTAACCTCAATTGTTAGTAAAGAAATGCAGGTCTCAGTAAGGAACATTCTGTGCTTATGAGCTCAGCGGCAGACTGCGTTGTCACGCCGTCATGACGCGGGGGGCAGGGGACCGACCCCTGACACTCTGCTAGCGGCTCCAAGAGGGACACGACCCTGTGGGGATATAATGTGCAGAGTGTTTGGAGAACCCCAGTCAGGCCACTTTGGGGAAATCTGCTCTAAAGGAAGAATCTCCAAATGGTTGTCAAGCTGGTTCCACTGAGCCCCATCCAGGGCTTCTGCGAGGAGCCCCGCAAAGGACGCTGCCCCACCTACGAGCACCCAGCACAGGAGCCGTGAGACGACCTGGGCAGAGCTCAAGGTCAGCGGGGCCACAGTCAAGGAGAACCACGAGCCCAGGGCAGTGCATGATCTGTGGAGGGTATGGAGAGATCTCCATACCGTAGCTCTGGCTCCCTGAGTGAGGAGGCAGAGGAGGAGGCCTCGGGCAGACAGAGGCTGTCCTCCCCTGGCCAGGGTGCAGCAGACCTTAGGGTCAGCTCTACTCTCTCTGGGGAGAAAATCGAAAGGAAACAGTATACATTCCCTCTCTTATTAACATCCATGCATGCCTTAAGCATGTTCACGCGGGAGCCCAGGTCCTAAATCGGATCCGTCAGGCAGAAGGGTGGCTCCCTCCCTGAGGCTTCAGGACACGGGCAGTGGCCCGGAGTCAGCCCTTGCCATGAGGACTTCCCCTTGCCTTCTGAGGTTTCCTCTCGTCAGACTACAGACCTTCCTGTTCTCCAGTGTGAACTGCTGGGTTTCAGCGGCCTTGCCCAGGCTGCTCAGGGTCAGCTGTGCAGAGACACCCCCCCCCCCCCGGGAGAGCCTCCCAGCTCTCTCCCCAGAGCTGCCGTCCCCCACCCACCGGTGAGCGGGCCAGGGAACTGTGTGCCGAGAGCGGGGCCAGACGTCCAGCACGGACCTGGCTTCCTGGCAGGATGACGGATAGTGATAATAGAGGACATGTCCACACCTGTCTGCAAGGCCCGCTTCTGCTCCCGTGAAGTAAGATCCCGCAGTGGGGGAGCACCTATCCACGGTGGGGAGATCTCCCCACGCACTGCCCCATTTGGGCTCCTACAGGCAGCATCCCCGGCCCTAGGTGCCCAGCCAGCTACTACGGAGCTGGGCTAGAACCTGCATATCCTAACTCTTAGGGTCTGCCTGAAATCCATTTGGGGGCAGAGTCTCGGGTGGGGCAGTAATAAGTAGGCACCTTTGTCTCCTGGCGGGGTGCTGTCCCCCCTCTGGCCCTCCTTCAGAGAAACTTGGGACAGCTCGATGCCCACACTTCTCAATCTTGGCAGTCAGGCGGAAAAGAATGGGAGGCCTTCCCTAGGTGGTGTGCAACGGGATGTGAGGGCCGACGAGCTCCTGCCTCCTTTCTTCCAGGGGAGGTTATCAGCTTGAGCTCACTCTAGAACATTTGATTTAACCAACAGAGAAGTAAGAGGAGGGAGAGGGTGTGGGCGGTGGCAGCAAGCAGGGGCCTGAGGTTGACAAAAATTGCCCCATTCTACTCCTTCAAGGTGTGACTTTCTCAGTGCATCACATTACTGAATACACACAACCCTTTTCTGAGGGGCTGTGCGTGCTGGGGAATGGCTGATGAGGGACAGGCCCCCTGGTGAGATGGAAAGAGGCGTCCCTGGTTTCTTGGCTGCAGGCCGAGAATATAATTTAGGTCCCGCTAGGCTCTGCTGCAGAGCCAGCCCCACGCTGTTTTCTTCCTCTACACGGAATGTTTTCGAATGTTTTCTCCCCATCAGGCGCGATGCTAGGCACGTGTACTTGGCTCAGCTCACATTACCACTGCTTTAGATACAAAGAGACAAGGTTCAGCAAGGCCAGGGATCTTGGCCAAGGTCACAGGGCCAATGAATACGGAGCTGCAGGCCAGCCCAGGTCTGCCTGCGGTGAAAACCCCCATGCTCCCCACTATACCTTCCTACCTGCTTCCCAGCTCACTGCTGCCTCTGTCGCTTTAAGAGACAAGCCTGGAGCCCCTCGGGCACTAACCCAGTTACATCTGAGCAAGAGCAAATGGACATCTGCCGGGTGGGTCTTCCCTTTCATTTCTCCAACCATGGATCACTGGCTCTGTCGCTCCTCCCCGTGGTTATGACGTGGCTCCTCTCCAGCCTAGCTTTTCTCCCCCACAGAAGGCTGCTTGGGAGCATCCTATATATTCACTCAAGGACTAGGAGGGCTCCTTGCTTCCCTTTGGTGGCCTACAGGCTGGCTGTAATCTTAAGGCTTGGGATGGATGTAGGTGCCAAAGGACTGGGGATCTTGTTAGCCAGAAAGTGGGCCAATGAGAGGTGGAGACCCAGCAGGGCCAGGGCCTTGGCCTTGGCCCAGCAAGACCCAGAGGTCACTGCTCTCAGTAGCAATGATCTGCCCCCACCCTGCTGGAGTGGAGACAAGGACCCCAGCCTTTTTGCTGGGAATTTTGTTTAGAAGATGGCAGGCTGCTAAATCTGGCTGTAGCCTATCCTGTGGGCTCCAGCGTATACAGCAGGGGGCAAGTTTACTCACCCCCAAATGCCTGCAGAGAACCAGCCAATGGGCTAATCTGACCTATCACCCTCTGTCCTGGGCAGCTGAGAGTCTTCATGTCCTCTAGGGTTCTGGGGTTCTTGTGGGCTTGGAAATTTTCAGCCCATATACCTGGACTTATATTCCTGATGTAGGAACAGGCTACCCTTTCCAGATGACCTTGAAGCTTCCAGAGCAATCTGTTTAGTGGAATTAATTCCTAAAGCTGGAGCTGCTCAGGGAGACATCAGATGCTTGCCAGGGGCTGGCAGCTCAGGCTTGGCAAGGGAGTGAAAAATCAGCCTCTGCCTAGTGCCCTAGCAAGCCAAGAGCAGCTCAGAAATCAGTCACATAATGGGATCAAGCAGGACAAGCTCCGGCAGGACAAGCTCTGGCTGGGCTCTGAGCCGTTGCAGGCAGGTTGGCCAGAGGTGGGCTAGAACCTGGCTGTCAGGACTGACAGCTGCCCGTCCCCCCCAAAACCCCGGTGTGCTGGGAGGGGGCTTCCTTGGCTTTGTTGTGCTCTTTTGTACTAGAACCCTGACACCTTTTCCAATTCTATAGGCCCTGCTTCCTCTCTTCTCCAGCCATCAAAGGCCTAACTCCTGAGGCTGGCATTAACTATTCTCACCACTGGCTGGATCCAACTTTCTCCTAGTATAGATCTCTGAAAGCCCATGCATTTCTGCAGGACGCATCCCCCAGGCCCCTTTCACCTCTCCAACGTTAGCCGTTCCTGGTCTGGCCCCTCCTGCTGCAGCTCTAGTCCATCTGCTCAAAGCCCTGTTGATCACCATTCCCCCAAGAGCCCAGTCCACACTGCTCCCCGAGCCCCAACCTTCGGCAGTACTACCCAGAGGCATGGGTCCTGCTCCCAGCCCTCAGGCTGGCAGGAGACAGAGATTTCCAGGACGGACATATTTCATTACCAGAATAACCCACCTTCTCCCCCATATCAAAATCCCAAGCCCTGCTGAGTGACTGTCCAGACCCCAGCCATGTGCTGGGGATACGGAGGAGGCCAAGGAGCAAGGCTGCTCTCCAAGCTTGGGGCCCCGGTGCAAATCCTACCGAGACCGAGCGATGGCTGCACGCCGGGTGC